TTAAAGTTTTTTATATTTAACATAAATTAGTTTTTCATATTTTGATATTTCCAATATTTCCTTATTTTCGTTCATTTTTCTTTTTTTTCTCTCTTCTCTTCTTGGGTTTAAATCTAGTATTTAAATTTTCAAGATGGAAGAGCTATGGCAGAATAACTTTTATTCACAGTTTATATATATTAGTTTGTGTTGTCTCTGAGGAGGGCCAAAACACGTAAGCGCGTTTAGTAGAATAAAGAAGTTTTACGCTTTATAGTATTATTTGCACGACATCTTTTGCGTCTGACTCCTAGTGCTCTTATCCTTTCCAATTTCTTTCAATTTATAATGAAATTATTAAAGAACAATAAAAATAAAATTATCTTAGAAAAAAAAGTCTGAAAAAATATATAATAGGGAAAAAAAAACCAGAAAAACCAAAATTTCAGAGAATTTATTCGTCCTAAGAACACTACACAAATTTCAAATAAATGATTCTTTTTTATCTTTTCTATTAGGACAATTCTCATGATACTATATTCTTCACTTGCATTAAATCAAGTCTTCGACAGATGGATGGTATTGCGTATCAAAAATCCATATTGTGCAGGACGAAATGCGAAATGCGAAAATGACTAGTCCGACGGTTCCAATACACACACCCATACACACATCCACACATAAGACTATACTTCTAAATACATAGCTCATTATACATTATGTCAATACATTATGTCGCGAAGTCGCCAAAGCGGAGATGGAAAGTACGCAAAGGACGTCTGTCATCTAATTCTGACTAGTTGTTCTCCGACTTTACCGAATTTTCTGAGGCTTTTATAGTATATAAAAGACTTATATAGTATATAAGTTTTTGAAATTTTTTGACATTTTATAATTATTTTCATAAAACTATGTTCTTTTTTTATTTCCTAGATGATTTCACACGTATAAACGTTCGCATGATGGATTGACTGGTTCTCGAACTATATGCGAATTCACTTTATAGTGACCGAGCGATTCCTGTTCGTGCAAGTTTCTTTGAGTCTTTCGGTAATTATAAATTAATATATTTTATTATTTTCCAAAGTTCCAATATTTCCAATAAAGTTCCAATATTTATTCTAAAAAGTTGAAAGTATTGGTGATGTATTTTTAAAAATTTTTTGAATCATTTTGAATAGGAGAAAAAAACGGACGGATTTGGTGCCTCATCCATACAAACGGATCATCCTCCGTTTGTATGGATGAGGCACCAAATTGTATTTTATAGAGTAAGGGTTAACATTACAAATTGATATAAATTAACATAAAATCTGTTTAGCCAAAAGCTTTATATATGGCGGATATGCGAATACTCACGTTTATAGTGCCTTACTTTAGGTTTGTTATGTCGCATGCTCCAACATACTCCTATCACAGCTCCTACTCACTGTGCGTTGGAATGAGTAAGAGCGTATTACAACATGTTGGAGCATGCGACGCGAACAAACTTTTGATGTAGATGTTCTTAGGTCACATGATTCACTACCATGTTGTGAAGCGTATACAGTAGAGCTATGATAGGACAGGCTCTTAAATTAGAATTTCTGTTAAGCTCCTAATATATCCACCATATTCCTAAGTATACAAACCAACATACACACTAAAAGTTGCAGCCACAAAAAAGTTTCACTATCGCTACTGGGAATGATTATACTGTGTATATGAGTTCTTTATTTCTCTTGATGTCTGCGTAGCAGACAACGTCTGATGCGTCGCATGATTGGATGTGTTGAGACCACACTCCTTTCCCCACTCTTTGCTCTGTTCTCACTCCGCCGCTGAACTGAAGGTTATGGTTACAGGTTGTTACACCTTCTAAGCTGTTGGAAATCTTGCTTCGTATTATATATTAACGTATTATATATTAACGAAGGCAAAAAAATTTATTAAAATGCTTTGTTGCGATAAACTGTATCAATAGATCTCTGTATCAATAGAAAAACGTATCGATTATTTAAATTTCCTGCGGATAGTATTTGTTGACAACTCACTGTAAAATAAATACATGACTTGTGAATAAACATCACTTCCTCGCAGATAAGAAATTTCATTTCTTTTCTTCAAATTGACATACATATTTGGCAGCTTATCTAGAAATAACCTGAACGCTAGATACTCTTCAGGTCCTGCAATATTGTGAAAGATATTTAACTAATTTTGAGAGGAATGAAAGGAGCTACAAAATTTCAAGCAGCAAATACAAATCATAACTTGTAATGATCATAACCCATCACAGCTCAGTGATAGAATGGGAAGCAAAGAATGGGAAAAGGAATAAAAATGATGAACGCGAATACCTACGTTTCTAGTGCTCAAAGATGCCAATAATCAGTGTCGTTACTGTGTATGATTATACTGTCATATATCTATCGAATGCATTCTCTCTCAATGCTCACGAACATTAAATATATTTGAAAATTCAATAGGAAACAGGAAATAGTCATAATGGTCGAAACTGGATCTTTTAACGCTTAAATCATTTCATGTGAATTTGTATATATTATATATAAATACATTCTATATTATAGTCATTTGAACTGCATGCCGAAATTTTTTCGGACTTAAAAAACACGGGTAAATTACTGAAATAATATCACAATTAAATTTTGATACTCAATACGCATCTATTAAAGAGATCTTAATATGCTGGAAATCTGTAAATAAAATTAATTTACAGCGACGTTAACAACGACAGGGTTATGCTTTAACGTTATACACCGTTATATTTTCAAATTTTTAATTGCAATTTGGAAAAGCATGTGTGTTACAATATATATTAGATCTATCTGAAAAGTTGCTATTAATATATTAATTTACATTCACTTTTTAATTACAACGTGCTTGAAATAGAAATGGACCACTATGTGTGAAATGATAATCACAAAAATCAATAATATAATTAATAATGATCAATATATAAATGTGGAATGTCATCGAGCAGGTATTAGATTAGTTAGCCTATTTATGAAAACATTGTAAAAATATGCAAACATTTTATTTCAAAACATGAAATGGTTATTACTCGAGCTTCCAAAGGTGAAAAACTGAAGTCTGCGACTCAAGAATTCAAACGGAATTGATTATTAACATTCATTACGGATGAACTTATGATTGCAATAAACTTATTTAATTTAATTAATTACTAATGCTCGTAACTCGTAAAAAAATATTAGATTTATTTAGCCAATAACTAGAAATGTATAAGATTTCGAAAATTAATATAAGATTTCATGATAAATTGATATTAATATCAAATTCATCTTCTATTTTGATACTGAAGGTCGTTATAAATCGAATTTTTAATTGATAAAATATAAAAGAAATATCTTGATTTATGAAATATACATACCTTTTGCAGTTAAAAAGAAATATCTATTCATTTACATAAATTTTAATACGTAATAAGGAAATAGCTAAGTACGAAGAAATGAGATTTTATATGCTCTCAAATTATATCGTTAATTCCAATTAAAATAATTTTAATTGTTTAGAAATTGCGGATAATTATAATTGAGTTCTCTAAATTATCAAGAGCATATCGATAATGTAAATTCTTAAATGATCATTGGAAACATTTATATTAACCATTTGATGGTTCAACAGAATAAACCGTTGATGGTTCAACAGAATAAACCGTTGATGATTCAACAGAATAAACATAATTTTTCAAAGAGAAACTAGGATGTTGTTATATCGATCACAGGCAAAACTTATCTTTCCATTATTTCTCTTACAAATAACAATTTTATTTTAAATTCAATTGTCAATAATTAATTCTATTAATATCTGCTTTAATTTTGAATAAAATTATATATTGATGTGTGGTCTAGTGATTCTATTGGAGCGTAGCTGATTTGTATCATATATGCGAATACATTCGAGCATTTTATGAAACAATCCTTCGCAAAACAAAGAACAAAATCTTAATTTTTACGTAAACATGGGATGATTTAAATGCAATTCAATATCTATTTACAACACGAACTTTCAGAATATCGAAATAATCAAAATGATAATCGCGATGTTATTTAGTGTAAAAATGAGATTTGTGATTATTGTAGATGCTTGATTGTAGATGCTTCAGGAATAGGAAGTAGGGAATGCATCAAGACAATTTATTGAACACAGAATTTCTCAATGTCGATGATATCGCAATATCAAAACTTCATGTAGTTAATTTTTTGGAACAAGAATCAACGATGCAGCCGAGTATATGATTAAGATATTTTTTCACTTATGCTTATGTTTATTTATTAATTTTTTAGACGGAAGTCATCAAATTTGAAAATTTAATAAAAATATTCACAATGAGCATTCCTTCTTTCTGTCTCCCATACGTACTAATTCATGCCTTCTCACTCAGTTACATATTCTTTCGTCCGATTACATATATTCTCTCTCTCTCTCTCTCTCTCTCTCTCTCTCTCTCTCTCTCTCTCTCTCTCTCGCACTCTCTTGCTCTCTCTTTCTCTCTCTTTCTCTCTCTCGCACTCTCTTACGCATTCGCTTCCGATCAAACATTCGTCTCTGTTACCTGCATGGCCGTAACATTGGTGTGTCCAGAAAATACAATATTTAATAACTTTGAAAAACATATTGATGCAGACCTCGAAGTACATTCAAAGTATAATGTTATATTACGTCAGTATATTATACTTAGAAATATACTTGTTCCAAATGTTAATCGAAAGTTGTACTGTTGTGTTTTCTGTGCACAGCTATTCATGAGCTTAATCGCAGGTATCGGCCAATATTTTTTATCGCTATTAAATTCATACCTTTTCGGTATGTGGATGTGTCCATGTATATATTAAATGTGTTTGTGAAATGTGTGTGTGTGTGTGTGTGTGTGGCGCGCGCGCGCGTGATGTATGTGTATGCGTGCGCGCGCGCGCGCGCGTGTGTGTGTGTCAATATATATATGTCGTGTTAAATCAATTGAGTGTGTATGTGTGTTACATGGCTACGTGTAGTATAATGTATATGTACATTCAATTAATAATTATTATTAATAACAACAATAATTAATACGAATAGAAAATCATGTTTCACGTTGTATGACTTAGTTCGCTGAACATTAATTCTTCAGTAAGTAGTAAAGTCGTTCAACGATATTCTCGATTGTTCAACATGCATATGTTCGTCGGTCAAGCAAGGCCTTTTTTTATTACCACGACTTGCTCAGCTTCCATGAGAAGAAATTTTATCATAGAAGAGCTTTTAGGATCTTTCGATTTTTAAGTTAATGATTGTTGTTTGATCCATCGGAGCTGCTGATGACAATACACGAAACTGTGACCTTTTCACTAAATATAGTTTCACTTGTTAAAGATTACGTTAACAGAGTCATGCCTCGCAATTAGCGAACCGACATATAGTATCATTCGCTTGTGTTCATCTTTATGTGGATTCAATCCAAGATGACAACCATTTCGTCTTGGCGACCTGCTCTTTGGAGGTGAAGCGGATTCAGGGGGAGCGACATTCTGCGCCATGGTTTGCGCGCTGCTCTTCGTAACTCCACCGAAGATAGAGCTCTTCTAGCTCTTCTGCAATTTGATAAATCAAAAGTATTAGCACAAATACCAAACGTATACGTTACATTACAATCGCAATTACTAGAATATTATGATATATATTATGATAAAGACAAAAAATTTCTTATATCAAAATTTATAAATATTAAGAAATATAAAAATCGAATTGAAGAACCGAGAATAATCCAATCGCAAATAATACATCCGTTCCTTTTTGCATATAATCTTATTTCTTTAAAATCTTTTTCAATAATTGATATAAATTTATAATCAGACAAAGATTAAAGACTTCTTCATACTTATACACTGCTTTACATAAATTTTCTTCGAAATTGATTTATGTTTATTTTTGATCTGATTTACTAACTTGATCTGTTCGGTAGCACGGAAGTAGACGTCATCGGGTGCGTCCATCCACGACATGACTTGCTTACGTGCGTTACTTCTGGACAACGGCGGACCATGAGGCAGCGGATGAGAGGCCCTGCCGTTAAGAGGCGGCGCAAGAGGAAGAACTGCAGGCGCGGGATGTTCCAGCGTATGTTTCGGATGCAGTTGCTGCGGATGATGAGCTCTTTTCGCAGGCGGTGCACCAGAAGGAAGCCCTGCGTTCAGAGCGATACCTAAAAACGAGCGAACAAAGACTTGCGACAATTTTAAAGAATCTTTGAACGCAATCATATTTTTTTTTATTAATGATCAGTTTGATCACGATATATCGCTTAATATCATTGATATTAAAATGATGAATCAATATTTCCTATTTATTTAACATGCGCTAGTGTACAATTACAAAAATCCTATTTATCAATAATCATTACTGGTTTACGATCCTTTCCACTAATAATTCGTAAAGTCGATGTAAAGAGAGAGAGAGATATAGAGATAAGTCATTTTATTACTCACAAGTCTTTTTATTACTTATAACAATTTGATAAAATATTTTATAAATATAAAAAAAAACATTTTGTCTATAGTATTTATATTTAGTAATTGAGTTTTATTATTGTTAATCACCAATAAAATAGTGCGAATTAAAATAATAAAACTTACCATCTGAACCGTTAATTTCGTCGAACGATCTTGGGCGTTTCAAAATATTCTGTTGGGTCGACATGACAGGCTGGGGCTGGGGTGGCGTCAATGTGAGCCTGTCCACTTCAGGTTTATTTGGTACCCTCTCATACAAAAGACTGCCGTCTACAATATTATACTTTATGTTATCAAATAATAATGTATATCACACACACACACACACACACACACACACACGCGCGCGCGCGCGCGCGCGCGCGCGCGCATACATACACATGTATATGAAGATAATTAACTGAATTTGTATCTCTATCAGTAATGCAAATACTTTTTTAGTGTAATTTCTTTCCACATTATAAAATTATTTCACATAATATGAGAAATAAAAATATTTATATTTATATGTTTCCGTTGTATATGTATCACATTATATAATATCGTATCTTAATATTTGTATAAACAGAATAATGAGACGAATTAATTGGAAAGAAAACACATAATTGCTTATTTAAAAAATTATCCATTTTGCATACAATTTTTTTAAAGAAAGATTTTTGTCTTTTCTTTCTACCAATTGATCTCATTATTTTGTTCATAAAAGTATTAAAGTATGATTATCAAAAAATTAATCATTTTTAAAGTTATTTAATATTTTATGTCATATATGTTAGAATAAAGTATAAAATACTTTATTCTCATAAACTATTCTTCTTGGTACCATTACCTTAATGTTTTATATGCAGAATACTTAGAAGAATCATATTGTAATGTGTAAAAAAAATCATACAATTCCATAAAAAAAGTGGAGATGAAGCCTAAAAAAATATGATTTTGAGAAAAATTTCTTGGTCATCATAATATGTGCTCCTTCGAATCGATCAATTTTCTTCTTTCATACTTTCTCGATCATTAAAAACAACGAAGATATTTAAATGATCAAGTTAGAGGAAATCTGTATTATTGTGTATGTATGTAACTAAAATATTCAAGCACGCGCGTGTTGATTAATTAATACAATGATAAAGTAATATTTCCAATACAGATAATTATCACTTTTTTTAATAATTTTATAAATATTTCATTTATTACTTCGAAAATTGAGACTACCAAAAGTCTCGAAAAGTCTTTATCTGATTTCTAATTTTTTATACAATAGTATAAGATACATAAAAAAAATTCAAGCTTGTCGCTGGTTCAGTGCTTCCAAAAAAAACTTTCCAAAAAAGAGAATAATGAGTTTTGTATTCAAAATAGTGAAAGAAAAATGAAGTTTTTTTAAACACTGAGCAGCAAGCTAGTAGTTCGTTTTAGATTTGATTAAAATTATATAGAATGGTATCTAAGGATTAGCACTTTATTATTTTGAATATATCCTGTGACGGTGATACTTTCATTATTTAATATTCCATTAAATTTAAAGGCACTTTTAAATTTAAAAAATGATGTTAAGAAATACATGTTTCAACACGTTCGGCAGAGAAGAGAAGAAACAAAGTTCTACTAATAATAGCATCTAAATTCTGCAACTGAAACAACTTAAGAATGATACAAGTATCTGGAAACAAAATTATTATTTTCAAATTAAATATATCATTTTTTAATATAGTATGATATATTTAGTTTATTGATTAGGATTCTATAAGTTTATTTCATAATTAAGTCTTTCATAACCAATCAATTTAGAACATATTTAAAACTTTAATTTTCTAGGTATAATTTTCCCTTAATATTGGATTGGAGCAAAAGTTCTGCGGTATTTTGTTAGCTCAAAATTATATATACAATATCTTCGTTAAAACAAACTTTAAATTTAAAAAAAAAAAATGATTTTAAAGCTTCAAATCTCTACTTTTGATTTTTTGAATTTATCTAAGTTTTGTAATTTTTATATATAGAAAACTACGAGATGAAAAAAAAGAAAATTTTTTTTCTTACTTTGTAGGTCTGCCAAAAAAAATTTGCGAAAATTTTCAACTATATTGTGAAAATTTGGAATTACAAAATCGTTTTTTAAAAATGTTTCTACAATTTTTTGTTTTTGAATTATTCGCGAATTAAATAAAAAGAAGCATTCTGACTTTGATTGCTCATAACTCCATTAAAAATCATCATGGAATTTAAAAAAACAGATTCTTAAAAACATTGCTTTATTGAGTAACTGCCAATTAAAAAAAAAATAGAATATATAAATTTGAGTTAAAAGTATGTATTAAGTACTGTCCTTATACATTATTAGATACATTATTAGATACAGCAAAGTTTCAATCATTTCTTTAAAAATCTGTTTTATTAATTACGGTATGATTTTAACGAAATTATGAGCAATCAAAATCAGAATGCTCTTTTATTTAATCCGCGTATAACTTGGTAACAAAAGTCATGAGAACATTTTTTAAAACTTTAAAAAAAAATTGTAAGCTTGCACGTTAGATAATCGAAAATTTCGCAATAAATATATTCTGTTATAATTTGAGCTAACAAAATTCCATAAAATTTTTTCTCTAACCCAATTATTTGGTATAATATTGTAATAAGTTTTACGCATTTGTACAAGTAATATCACATTTTCTAATAATAGTTTTTCATATTTTATCAATAACTGTAAATTATAATGAAATGCTTAAATGAAAATCTTCTTAAATAATCAATAATAAAGTAAAAGAATCCCGTCATCATATATGATAGGAGATTCAAATTATTCAAATCTACTTATAGAAAAGGAATGAAAACATGCAGCAAAAATTTTAAAAAATGTATAACTTATTAAACAGAAATTATAGCAAACACAGAAATAATATAATCTTATTGGAAAAAAATGAAAATAGTAAGTTTTTAATGAAAAAGTAAGCAAAAGTGACTCTTCTCCAAAATAGTGAATAAAGTGAAAATAGCAGCAAGTCTGAATAATTGCTTTTTATATACCCGGTGCCTTTGGCGGACGTGGAAATGAGACTCGTTCGGGCTGTTTGCGTTGTGCTGGGGCAGTTAGTGTCAGCCAGTCCCAGTCACCGGGTTGCCGAGGTGCTGGATGATCGCCTAGGCGCGAGGCGATGTCGATCACTTGGGGACGCGGCCGAGGCCGTACGGCGCGTGCAAGGATACGCAGTTCCGTAGGTGTTTTAGATGCCAGCTGGGCGCATAGGTGCCGCAACGGCGCGGCATTCACCGG